GATGACCTGAAGGAACTGTATAAGACTGTGTGGGAGATCTCGCAAAAGACCATCTTAAAGATGGCTGCAGACAGAGGAGCCTTCATTGACCAGAGCCAGTCCCTCAACATCCACATTGCTGAACCCAACTATGGCAAACTGACCAGCATGCACTTCTATGGCTGGAAGCAGGTAAACTAGATACTTCCTTAGCAAGGATTTGGAAGTCTAGAAGTTAGAGTTGATGGATCAATGGTACATCTGCTGTTCTCCACAGGGTCTTAAAACAGGAATGTACTACCTGAGAACTAAACCAGCCGCCAACCCCATCCAGTTCACTCTCAACAAAGAAAAGCTGAAGGAGACGCAGAACAGTACAAGCAACGAGGAGGAAACCAAAGAACGCAACAAAGCTGCTATGGTGTGTTCGTTGGAGAACCGTGACGAGTGTCTGATGTGCGGTTCATGAATTTAACTCCTGTTGACGAGAACCATTAGGATGGCTAACAATATGCATCTTGTAGTCTTCTATCTTTTTTAAATGGGCTTAGAGAATAATTATTAATTTACATTTCCTGTATACTTTACTCCTGTATACAATACCAATAAATAATTCAGTAAAAAAATTCAACTTGTTTCAAATTTATGAAGCGGTTTTGTAATCATTTTGAATATGATGCTTGAGGTGGAGTTTCATAGAACTCATTGTAATTTTTTGTGTTATGCAGACGTGACATCAGGGAATTATATTTTTGGAAACGTATGTGTGATTTGTTTAGCTTTAAGTACTGACTGAGTTTCACTTATTTTACATTTAAACACCTTTTAACTGATAACGCAAAGTTCAGTCATGAAACTCTAGATGGTGTGGGCCGATAGGTCAACTCAATCTGATATAATCACATCAGTCACATGGTGCAGCCGATTGGTTTTAATTGCATCAGCAGCCAATGAGCTTGCTGCTCAACATTCAAATACTTGATCAGTGCTTGCTGTAGCAGTTGCAGCCCCTGTCAGAAACCCTCAACCTTCCCCAGTTCCACCTGTATAGATCTGCTATGGGGTAGTTTCATGTGTTATATGTGCAGCAGCAGTATGTCTGGATTTATTGGCAGTAGCAAGTCTCCATACTTGCTCTGCCGCAGCGGCATAGCAGATCTATTCCACGAAGACTGCCAACACATTAACATTACCATGTATATTAACATGTTAAACTTTTCGAGCGTTTTCATGACCAAATATAATAGTGCTACAGATATTGTTTGCTGATGTAACCCCAGCAGCATTACCCTGTGTGCAGTAAAGGGTCATATATTCCTATGGTTATGGGAACAGGTGTGACGTTCCAGTAGAGGTGCATGGGGAGAGTCTGAGGCTGCAGGTAACTGGTTAATGAATAGTCAGAGGCCTTGTGGGAAAAGCAGCTGTCACAAACAGCAGGTGTTACACAAGCTGCGACATGTGCATGTGATCTCTGGGGTGATAAATGTCCTCTCATGCATCTATGTATTCAGGGTTTTTTTTTATATAGAGTTAAAATTAATAAATTATTGCTTTAATAGGAATTGATTTCTATTACAATGCCATTTTACATTGCATATTTATTATGAGTACAATATTGTGAAATCGTGCTCTGGATTTTATTAATGACATGACTACTACGATGATTTAATCTAAATGATTTACAAATTATTTTACAGCTTCAGAGGACCAAACAACCAGAATGCTTCTCTCAAAGTACGTTATACAGTATACACAATGGCGCCAAAAAGTATTTTGTCACGTAAGGCACACTTAAAAACAGACTGCTGTTCATAAGTTTGAGGTTGGTAGGAAATACAGCAAAACAGTAATATTGTCAAGTATTATGATTTAAAATAACGTTTCTATTTGAATATATTTTAAAATGTAATTTATTCCTATGACGCAAGATGAATTTTCAGCATCATTACTCCAGTCTTCAGAGTCACATGATCCTTCAGAAATTATTCTAATATGCTGATTTGCTCAAGAATCTATTATTATTATTAATGTTGGAAACAGTTGTACTGTTGTTTTTTATCCATGTAAAAGTATTTTCTTTATTTTTTACAAAAACAATCTTGCAGACTCCAAACTTTGTGAACAGTTGTTTATGTCTGCAATATATACTGTAGCATAACCAATTGCCATTTATTATAAAAAATATAGAACAAGTGAACATTTCAAAAGACGTTGTAAACTTTTAAATGAATAGAACAGTTCTAAGTTACATTGTTCAAAATGTAACAGTATTCAAATGTCAGTAGATGATGTCAATATGTTCATAGTTAAAGTGATAAACTACACCTTGGTTTGATATTTTCAATTGTAATGAAATTTCAGACATTTTCAGTGTGACAAAAGTGTCTAAATACTTTCTGAGGCCACTGTAGCAAAGCATTTTAATATCTTAAAACACTAAAAAAATGTTCTCAGCTAGGTTCATGGTTCTCATAAGCTAGTCATTTCGAACTAATCTTGGAAGAAATGATTCCAATCATTAAGGACTGCTAGTTGAGAGGTCAAATACTTGAGAACCAAAACCGGTGTCTTGAGAGTCATCGCTGCCGGTTGGAGATGATACTTGGTTTCCAATGAAAGCAAAATTCCTCTCTAGCTTTTCCTCTATCCTCTTTGCTAAGAAACTCACTAGGCTTGTCTGATTCAGGTCAATCTTGATGCCCTCACCTGCATTTTCATTGATGACTTCAACTAGGCCTACGTCTTCTTTTACATCTTGTGTCGTTCCATTGCTTTCCTCAACCTCTCCGTTTTCCTCTGTCTCTGCTTCATTTAGATCTGTTCCTCCTGTCACCTCTGCATTTAATTCCTCCACATTATCACTGGTTTCCTCCACCATCATCTCATCTTCTCTTTTTCCACTAGCTTCACTTTCAGCATCTGTATTGGACTCTATATCTATGACTGTCTCACTTGTATTCTCTGTATCTGTATTCTTTTCAGCCCAACCCTCCTCCTCCTCCTCTCCCTCCATGCTAATCTTAGTGAATCCATCATTTCCCGTCTCCACGTCCCCCTCATCTTCTCCTTCCTCTGTCTCATTCATGTCTTCCACAGCATTATCTGTTTCTCCCTCACTGTTTTGCTCTTCATTTGATTTCCCGTCTGGCTCTGTGTCAGCGGTCGGTGACTCCTGCACGTCCTTCTCTTCTACAGTCTCCGCTGCTGGTTCTTCATGGTGTATAGGCTCATGTAATGGAACAGTCTTTCTCTCGTTGCTGTTGAAGCCCTTGAACTCGTTTTCGGCTCCAAAGATATACTTCCCTAGGAAAGAAGTTCCTCCTGATGGAACAGGACAAAATGGCTAAAAAACAAGATATTTCTCATTTTAATTAACCCCCTTTACTTTATTTTTTTCTTTGAAGAACCTGAATTGTATCTTGTAAATAGTAACTTGTCAAAACTGAATTTTTTGAGAGCTCCGTTACTACCTGACGGCTGCAACGTCATGTGTAGTTACTCAAAATGTGGCCATTTCAGGAGTAAAATGTTTATTAATTCCTATAATTGCCTTGTGTTAATGTCTTAATAATGCAAAATTTAACTGAAAACACATGCAATACAGTAGCTAGCACAGAATTGAATAACTAATGTATAATATTTATATAGAGATAAAGATAATCAATAAGGCACCTGCATAACTTCTGTCACTTGTCTCACTTTGGTTTTATATATTATTCAAATTACACAGATTAATTTTGGTGTTAATAGTGTTGCCATAGAAACAAGGGTTGGTTGCAGGTGGTACTGGGAGAGAAGTATGCTTATAAAAACACTGTATGGTCCTAGAGAAGAGAAATATTATTGAAAGAAATAGAAGCTGATATATTTAAAATGTCTGCTAAAAGCAAATTATAACAATTTTCAGAATAAATAAATCCAATCAGATTTTATGGAGTCTTTAACAAAACCTTGTGAGTCTTACCTTTGCGTTTTGTCTCTTCAAACTCTCTCCTGGCAGATTCGATGTAGCGCTGAACCAGAGCGCGGATGACCTGCTGTCTGTAGGGAACGCGGTTCTCCCCTGGACTCATGTCATCCTTCAGTGTTCCGTTTCCAAAAGAGACATAGGAGGCATAGATTTTTTTTCCCAACATGCTATAATTGGTAATTTATTATAAATTCTTGTCAAAAATAGCAATGAATAGCACATCAGCATATGCATGTAAAACGTAATATAGAGTAATGGTGAATTGTAATCCTGAAAGACTGAAAAGTGTACCATAGACGTAAGTGGAGGGTAGTCTGGAGCAGAATTACAGTTGAAGCAGCAGCAGCAGATCCATCTGAAAATTCCTCTAAAATAAAAAAACAACAAAAAACACTGGGATCAAAACAACATTTTTCTCCGTAATAATTTGTTTAAACTAAACTGAGTGCCACTTAAAAGTAAAATGGAATAAATTAATAATTTAGTAATTCATGAATAAAAAAATGTAAATAAATCACTTGTCACACTGACAAATAACAACATTTATTTATTTAATGTTTTAAAATTAAATGTAATTCAAATTGACAAAGAAATAACTTTATTTGATTATAATATATTTTTAATTGAGATAAATATAATAATAAATAATAAATTAAATTACTTTTCAAATTGACAAATAAACAAAAGCTTAATTTATTTCAAACTAAGTTAAATGTAACAATAAATAATACATTAATAAATAACTTTTCAAACTGATAAATAAATATTTAAACATTTAATGCATTTTTATAATGTTACTTACATTTTAAAATAAAATAGAAATAATACTTGAATAAGTAATAAAATAATACATTTGTAAATAACTTTTCAAACTGATAAATAAATATTTAAACATTTAATGCATTTTTATAATGTTACTTACATTTTAAAATAAAATAGAAATAATACTTGAATAAGTAATAAAATAATACATTAATATTTCATTTTTAAAAGTTTTTTTTATTTAATTTCAAAAAAATCAAATGCGAACTGATATCCTACCAATTTCTCATAACCATTTTTGACGTGGTTCTTGAGACCTACCAACCACCCAGACCATGTGGAAGGAGTTGTGCAGGATGGTCTGCTCACGAGAGGCAAAGCTGTCCCGGTACACCTCCATGGCAATAGATTCCCCCAGAAGCGTGATCAGGAACCACATATATGATGCCGAATGGAGAAGGAATTTAATCACTGGGATCTTCAAAGTCTTCCCCAACTGAGAAGAAAATAGAAGATGGTTCACTTTTTTTAGTAGAATATTCCTGCGATGGGCCATATGTCCAGGGTGTTTCCCTAACTTTAGCCTGAGACGCTGGGATAGATTCCAGCATCCCAGCGACCCTGCAGCATTTTGGAGAATGGGTGGATGCATGGAAGTCTGTAAAAACAAACCTATAGAATTGACTTGATAAAACTGAGGAAACAATATGTACTCAGTGTGTTTGGATAGATTTCTTCCAATGTGTTAATTAAAGTTATACAGCTATAGCACACACAAAGAAATTAGGTAAAGTCTTCCAAACCTTTGTCAACTATGATATTATGGTATAATATGAACAAGCAAGAAACTAACTGCACTGAAATTAGTAAAGCTATTGCTCTTTGCTCGTGGAGCAACATACAGTACATGCCTTCTAAATTTAATTACTGTAGCCACCCACATCCTAACCATAAGCTCTACTTCTCAGCACAATGGCAACCACAAAAACCAACAAAACAGAAACTCTTCATAAATGTCAAACATAACTGAACATTAAACACTAACAGGTCTTTCCCTGTACTCAAAAACATATAAAATAACACTAACATTTATTCTCCTGATCCAGTCCTATGCAAAGCATGCTGGAAACTAAAAATTCACTGGCCAGTTTCAGTTAGTGCAAAAAAAAAATTAAGTAAACTTCAGTTTTACATATTCAAGTGCATTACATAGTTAAGTAGACTGGACACACTTAAGTTAAGTAGAAACAAAATGTCCAGCAATTTAGATGCTTCAACTTATTTTAATCAAAGGAATAGTTCACCCAAAAATGAAAAAATGCTGAAAATGTTTTCACTCTCTTTCCTCGTCAGAACGGATTTGGAGAAATGTAGCACTTGCTCACCAATGAGTCCTCTGCAGTGAATGGGTGCCGTCAGAATGAGAGTCCAAACAGCTGATAAAAACATCACAATAAGTAATCCACACAACTCCAGTCCATCAGTTAATGTCTTGTGAAGTTGTGTTTGTAAAAAAAAATCCATCATGAAGGCATTTTAACTTTAAATCGTCGCTTCTGGTTTAAAGTTGTAAACCCAAATGTGAACCCATAAAACACCCTTTCGCTTCAAAAAATGTTAATTGATGGACTGGACTCATGTGGATTACTTGTGGATTATTGTGATGTTTTGATCAGCTGTTTGGACTCTCATTCTGACGGCACCCATTCACTGCAGAGGATCCATCGGTGAGCAAGTGATGTAATGCTGAATTTCTCCAAATCTGTTCTGATGAAGAAACAAACTCATCTACATCTGGGATAGCCTGAGCTTGAGTACATTTAAATTTTGGGGTAAACTATTCCTTAAATTTAACAAGCAGCAGATATCATTTTTACAGTGTAGAATGCTTGAATATTTGAATATATTTGGCAAAAACCTTTGACTTTGGTGCGAGCCAGTAGATGAGGCAAAGGATGGGCATGGTCAGGAAGATCCCAAAAGACACCAGGAGCTTCCAGGCTGTTCTGCTGCCCCTCCAGCCTGATAGGTTCCCACACCAGATCGAGGAGAGCACCTGCTGGCAGATCGGGTGCGCTACAAACTGCAGTACAAACAATGATTAGCTAAATGAATAAATAGCAATTCCTTTTTTTCTTTGTTTTAAGGGGTTAAAGCTTGGGGTTCTACTTGTTTTTGATTATAGTTGACGGCAAGCCTTAAGCGAGCCAGGTTTGGAATGCCCTCCTCAAACGCCTGCTGGTCCAACTCATCCTCGCTGTCCTCATCCTGATCCCCAAGGCTGTTCAGGATGGTGGTGACCTCACTTTGGTTCCGGCACATTCCAAGCAGCTCCACAGCAAACTCCTGGCACAGCTGCTCCAGGGCAAGATACTGAGGCTGTATGAAGCAAAGGAGAGAGTGGTTGGGAAAAAAGGCCAGAGATTATAACAGTTTTAAGAAACTTTGAAATGACATGACTCTAAAAGTGGTGTAACGATATACACCATATATATTTCTGCATGTTTGTTGTACCGCATGACTTCGATTTGCAAATATGAATAAAAATCATGCCAAATTATTATCATTTAAATTTCAGTCTATTCTTCATTATGATATCAGGACAGTTTTATCATCCTGACATTTTTGGACTTAATGCCTTTAAAAAATAAAAATTTATACAATTTTTTTTTTTTTTTAATAAATACATTTTAATAAAGAAATGTAAGACATGCTGATCATCACTGTATGTGTATAAAATTTAAAAAATGCAGAAAATTAATAGATTTAATTAGTGTCATGCCATTATACAGTGTTTTATATTATATATTCGTAAAAATCATCCATGTAGGATTTAGCCACTGCTTTTTACTACTATGAAAAACAACTAGTGGCCCTCTAAAGAACCAAGAGCCCTGCTTTACTCAACCTTAAACTCAGGTTCCTTTTTTGACAGCTTGCGGAGATCCCGGCTGAGTCGAAAGGCACTGAGCATGGCATCATCTGCGGTGATGGACAGGTAAGCACGGCTGGCAATACCTCGGTAGGTGTTGATACGAGACAGCGAGAACTTGAGCAAATCATATTGCCGTCCATTTGTGCACTCCAGACATATGCATGAGATTTTATGCGGCCAAGGAATTTCGTGACCTTTCTGATTGAGCATTGTCACAATGTCATACAGATCCTTCTGACAGGCCAGTGTCAATGGTGTCACTCCAGGGGCAAACTGGGAGTCATCAATGGAGTGGTCAAAAATGGCCATTGAGAATGAGCGCACATCCATCTTGTTTCCCTTCTCCAGATCAAGCTGGTCCAGGAGGCGCTTGACCACACGAGGCTGGTTGGTGTCCACAGCCACCAGAAGAGCTTCGTGGATCTTCCGGAAGTCAAACTTGACCCCTTTGAGAAGGGTGTCCATGGTGTCCTCATTGCCCAGTCGGATGGACAAGTTCAGCGCTTCTCTCCAGAGCCTGTCCTCAGAGTCGTCCAGCTGGCGGATGATGCCGTCACCCGTCCTCAGCAGCGAACAGACCGTGTTCACGTTGCCCTCTCGGATGGCCCCGAGAAGCTCCGGAGGGAAGCAAAACTTCTTGTTCACGATCTCGCGCCATTGTTCTGGCTATTCAAAGGTGAGATCAAATCATTCTAATACACAGCAACACCAAAATATCTCTAAAACAGGAATATAACACTGAGGTCTAGACATCTGTTGGAATAAAAGCTTATATATCATCTCACAGATTGTTTCTTGTACCATTTCACTGCTGTTTCTATTTCATCTTCTAAAAACTCAAGCAACTATGCAATGGTGCTCATATATGTATAGTCAAAAATAAATAAATAAATAAAAGTAAAGTGGGGTCCAAGAGTCCATATTGAAAATGTGGGATTCAGACCAACTAGGGGGCCTCGACACACTTCCAAAAAAAAATAAAAATAAATAAATAAAAAGAGAGAAAACAAACTTTTGAAATAATCCAAACCATCTTAAAATCAAGATTTTTTGCCGACATTGTATTTCTTATTTTAGTTGCTTTAACAACTGCCATTTTAATTTAATTTTAACAGGATGTTCTCATTATCTTAAAATATAGGAAGGAAGTTTTGATTTCTATATTGAAAAAGTCATGGAAATTAATAAAATCCCAAAAAGTCATGTCATTTTTCTTTTTATTTTAATGAACATACATTTTTCTAGTTATGTAAAGCTATTAGAAATGACTATTTCTGAGTATTTTTTTTTTAATCTAAACAAGTACATTCACTGTAAACCCGTTTTTTTATGTAGTTATTTTAATAATGCCACTAGCTTATGTAATTCAAAAATGATAAATAAGCAGATTTGTCATTAAAGCAGAAGTACAAGAAAATGTTGGGAGGCCTTCAAATATGGTCTGATACAATGGGGGTGAATAAGGCTGTGAACCTCAGTTTTAAGATTTAAAAAATCAATAAATATATATATCAATTTTATATTAATAAATTAATATAAATATTCAGTATTCTCTGTTTTAGGTCACTAATAATATACACTAATGAAACGAGTAACTTTTTACTCAAGTTATTATGCTGATATTACAATTTATGACAATAGAATGGAAAAAAAAATGAATTAGAAAAACACACTGCTAATTTTGTAGTGCCTTAATTATCAGATCAGACACATGACATACACAGTTTCCAAAGACTTGATACATGCTTACAAAACAAATTCACAAAATAACTTTTTACAGTGAACAATGTATATTTCTTACCGTGAGGTTTTCCATCATCAGATACACCAGGTATATAAATATTACAGCGAGCTGGTATCAATGGATGTCTCACATGCCCACTGTATATCCAAAAAGCAGACAAATCAGCTCCAAAAGCAAGTCAATAACGCTGTTTTATGAGGCTCTAATCCTGATCTGAGGACAGTGATTAAGACACTAGTTAAGCGAGTCCAAAGGTTTGCCACCACCGAGGACTCAAAACACGGGTCAATGATTTCATTCTGAACAAACCAAATAACAGGTACAATTCCCCAAAGGACACGACCAATTAAAAACGCAACCGCAACATTATGTTGCATCCCATTAGAGCTCACTAAGGACTTCTGAATTTCCACTCCTCCATCAGTGCACTTCCTCCTTTCAACACCACCTCTGTAAACATCAGGGCTCAACAATAAGGATGGCCCCATGATACAGGGTCAGTGTGAGAGGTCATTTCAGGCTATAATTGAAAATAAATGATAAAATAACATAAATTATTCAAATAAATGATAAAATATATTTCTTTTTTATTTAAAAAGGAAAATATTTAATGTTTTTTTCTGACACATGCACTACAGTTTAAAAGTTTGTGATCAGTCAGGAAATATTATTAAGAAATTAATACTTTTATTCAGAAAGGACACATTAAATTGATCAAAAGTTACAGTAAAGACCATTATGTTACAAAAGATTTGTATTCAAAAAATTTATCAGTTTACACAATAATATTAAGCAGCTCAACCATTTTAACATTGATTTACATATTATTATTATTATTATTAATAAATGTTTTTGAGCACCAAATGAGCATATTAGAATGATTTCTAAATGATTCAAAACTGAAGAAATTGTTGATGAAAATTCAGCTTTGCTATCACAGGAATAAACTACATTTTAAAATATATTCAAATAGAAAATATTTTGTTTAAATGTTAATACTATTTCAAAGTATTACTGTTTTTACTGTATGTTTGATCAAATAAAATGCAGCTTTAATGATCATGAGACTTCTTAAAAAAAAAAAAAGAGAGAAAACATCTTTCCTACCCCAAACTTTTAAACAGTATTGTATATATAATCATTTTTAAATAAAAAAAATTAGGGATGCACCGATATGAAAATTTTGGCCGATACCGATAACCGATAATTCTTTATTTTTGAAAGCCGATAACCGATATGTTGGCCGATAAATCTATATCCAAATTTTTATATACTTTTTGAGAGCCTGATTACAAAAAAGGTCTCATCATTAAAAGCCACATCCCAAACACTTCAACATAAGCAGCCTAGTTTGAACGGTGTACGTTTTAAAAATAATTTTACTCTCCCATTACCAAATTTAGTCATAAAGTCTTACAAATAAATAAAATAATGCATAAATAATGCAAACAAGTTACTGGACATTACACGTGTAAAGAATCAAAATGAATGCGCCATAGATCAATAAAACGGAATAGCCTCTGCACGGACAATAATTAAATGATTTTAATTACTAAACCATATTGTTGATGAAAATAAGAGAAAAATACAAGTGGTTGTTATTATTAATAATGTATCAATGATTTTGAAAAAGTAACAAATACCACTGTTTTAAATAGCAGCCATTTGAGCTGCGCGTGCTGAAGCTGAAGAGCCGAATGAACACGGTAAACTGAAGCGTTTT